ATACGAGGAAACAAAATTCTTATGAAGGAATTTCAAAAACTACATTTTTGAATAAATAAATAAAAAATAGTTTGGTGGGTGGAACGTGATTATGAAAAGTTCCGTCTTTGTTATAGTTAGCAGCGTTAGATGAAAACTGTTGTAACTAAATTTATCTTCTCTTTAATTTATTCAACCAATCTATCACAATTTAAAACTTAAAAAAAAGAAAAAAACTTATGCTACATTATTATGAAAGTTTATTTTATATTTTAAAATTTTAATACATAAAACTTGTTATTTTAAAATAACATAGAAAAAGTGTTTCAGTTTTTTTTTCTTTAATGATATTAAATTTCTATAACACCTATAATTTGATTTTAAATTTTAATTTATTATGATTTTAATTTATCATGAAATTTTAATGTAGTTAAATATTTTTTTTCCAGTTTTACATATTCAATTTGAATTGTTTGTATACTTATCCATTCATTATTGGATTAGAGATTAAATTTCATAAGGTTAAGAGGGATATAGAAGGATATGTGAAGTTGTGTTGCAACAATTGCAACAGATTCACATGAGAAAGGTCACGTGTCAATGTTTTCAACCATGAAACTAATTCAACAACCAACTTATTCTTAATCGAGGATAAAATTGTGGGGTGGTCATGTGAAGTTCATGTGCACAAAAAAAACATACTATTTTTTGAAAAGTATATGTTATAATAAATATTTATAAATTTGTTAACATACATTCATTTAAAAAAAAATAGCAAGTTATATTTTATTTATTTTTATCTTTTATTTAACATTTGATAAATTTAATAAGTGATGTAAATTTAAAAAGTGTACAGCCGACTAGCTAAATAAGTTTAGCTTTAGATTTTGAGATTAATTTTATTAAACAATACAAAGAAAAATATAATAATAATAATAATAATATAAATTAAAAAATAAGAAACTTAAAATATTATGTTTTTTAAATAAAAAATATTAATTTTAAAATATTTTTATCAGAAACAAAAAAAATACCAATAATAGGAATTAAAGAGACCCCAGCTCTCACATCATATAGTAATAGCATGAAATGTATCATTCATGTTTTTTTTGTCTCTTTTATTTATTGTAAAGACTTACATGATGGATGAATAAAAATAATTTCAAGAATGATTTTGAAGTTATTTTATAAATTTGTCCATAGCACGATTGAACTTGAACTTGCAGATAAAACTATTGGCTAATTTGATAAATTGCATGAAAACCTTCATTTGCATATCTTGAAAACTCAATGATGAAATCATCATATTCTATTCCAAATTGAACCTAACCTATATAGACAGAAAATAAAAATATTTGACTATTTATATATATAAATACAATGACTGAATTTCAATGATTGAACAATTGAAAAACAGTAATTAAAAATGTTTGGTTCACCTTCTACTAACGTTTAATTTTGTTTAAAATGGTGATGATGGGGGCAGCAGTATACTGTCCAAATCATTATGATAGTTGTAATGACAAATTGAAGGAAAAGGGTAGGCCAAGGTTATTCTTAAAGCATGCTGAATTATGACTCACACCCATTGTTATATTTTATATCAACATTTTTTTAATATTATCGGTTATAACTTTAATCAGTATAAATTTTGAAATATAATTAGCAATTTTTGTAATATGTCATTATATATAAAGTTTATAAATATATATATTAAAAAAGAATGTTAAATGGTTAACATGTTTTTATACATGAGCAAAGTGTATCCTTATTATAAAAAAAAGACTATAACATTTTTTTTACGTGGAGAAATTTAGCCAGATTTTTAGTATATAGTTTTGAAAAATTAAATAGACACGAGTCATTAATATTAATATTAATAATAAATGGTATATAGCTTGATTAATATATTGAAAATCTGTCTCGTTGATAAAAAAAAAAAAAAAAAAAAACTTATTGTAGGTGTTGTCATGAAAAGAAGAAGAAAGAAAAGCGATGTGTGGGACATGGAGATAAGTATTTATGATTTATAAATGTAAAGCCCATACTCATACCACTCATAATTTTAATGGAGAAAAATACATCATTTTCTTTACATCTTAAAATGTTTTTTTTTTTTAAATGTATATTGAGAAATTTGAAGAAGGTATTATAACCTAAATAGTGATTGAACAACCACTCAAACAAATGCATATTTGAGACAAATTTGATTTTGAGAGTAAATTAAGCGAAAAAGATTAAGGAATGAGAAAAAATAGGAGGAGAGAGAACGAGAAAGTAATAGTATTGCGGTCCAAATAAGCAGCAAATTGAAAAAGTTCGTCAACAAAGAAAGAAAGTGAAAAACAAATATCTTATGATAATTGTTATTGTTAATTACCCACCAACTATGCCTTATTTTCCTGCGTAATTTATTCCATATTCATAAGGATCCAAACTCTGCTAAAGTTCGCAACCTATTCATTTGGTTCAATTTTCAGTTTGATGTACTGAGTGAAAAATAAATAGTTTATTCTTTTGGTAAAGGGAGAAATGAATATTTTTCAAAAACATTTTAAAAAATCATCTAATATTATAAATTTATAAATACTATTAACATATTGAAATACGATTCTTTTCTTAATTTTTTTATGTTTAACAATATTTTGACCTTTGACAGCACCAATGTTCTTGTCTCCTTCATGTAAACATTAAATTATCCAGAATCTTTGTATTCAAATTCCACTAAACAATGGGATGATAATTGCATACACATCTCAATCAAATAAAATTTGAAAGAAAAAAGAAACATGTAGCTATGAATGAGTGGTAGACTTTTCATTGGAGGTGCTTTAACAATGGCCAAAATCACTCATTTACAAAGTTAGTTTCTTATTTAGGTGACAGCACTAGCAAATTCTTCTTCAAGTCTTCACTGTACCCACAACACCCATAAACATTGTTTTTTCTTTTTGTGAATATGGATCATACTATTTTATCTATTTTTTTTTTCTTAAAGAACAAAGGAAGATTTTGCAGAAAATTTGTAGGACCCAGGGTTCTGTCTTAACATTAACTTTACCAATGAACACGACACACTCATTTTTATCTTGTAAGCTTACATTCTTTTTATTTTTTTATTTTTTTTACCCTGTAAAAAAATTTATATGTTTTTTAAATAAAAGGATTAATTATAATAAACTTCACTATGTTATGTGACAAACTAAAATAATAATTTTATAACTAAAGCCAGAAATTAATTTTGCTTTTGTAAGAATTTTGTCCAAAAGAATTAACTGCGTTTTATAAAATAAGTTTAATATGAATGTATATTCAGCTGATAAATTTTTGCCCTATCAATAAATATTCACTTTTTTAAAATATAAATTTTACAAAAGGACATGGTTTTTAATTTTTTTATAAACTCATCCCCGTAAGTAAAAGTGAAAATCTAACTTTTGTTCGAGTTAAGAAAAACATTGTATTCGATTATTTAATATGACACACTAAAGTTTTTATAAATACATTAAATTATTCTTTAATTCAAAGAAAAATCATATAGATATTAATAAAAAACAATTCACGGTAATAATGTTTTAAATTATTTAAGGATTTATGGTTCTCAGGAATCTGTTGAATTTTTTCACTGATAAACTCCTCTGTATCACATTTGTGATGCAAGAAAACTTTGAAATAAGAAGTGCATTAATATATATATTAACAAACTTATAAAATGAACAAGCTGGTTTTCAAAAAGGTGAGACTAAAATGGTATAATTGAAGGGATCAAAAGATCTTCCTGTGGAACAAGAATGGTATTGGTACTTATTGGCCTTGGCCTGATATGATATGATTATGGTGGAATACATACGTTACCACGCTATCTGTTGAGAGAGGAAGAAGGTTGAAATCCTTCTGTTGTGTTGTGTTGTTGTGTGGGAGTTTACAACAGCAGCGTGTGGAGAACGACCTTCACACACAGACACAATATTAGCAACTTTTCCTCTGCACTCAGAATGGTGGAGTCCGTGTGGGTGGGGAGACAGACATGATCTATCTGTGTTCACAGCACCACTGTTCCCCTGCCTCACCCTTATGTAGAACAAAAACCAAACATACCCGCCACAACGCTAAAGTAATCCCTTAGTCTTCACAATTTTGTGAGTTTCACATATTTTTCTCTCTTTTCCACACTACTTGCATTCCTCTTGCTGCTTTTTCTTTCTGCTGGCTTAACATCTAGGGGGTTTCTTATTTCTGTTCTTAACTTTTGTTTTTCACCTTTTTTCTGGTTGGTTTTGTTGGTCAAATCTGAGTTGTTTTCTGTTCTTCGTTCTTTCTACGCCTCTCTCTTACGTTTTCTGGGGGGAGGATTTTGTGGAGTGTGTTTAGCTGACACAACCTAAAAGTTCTGTCTTTGTAACGAATTTAGCGGTAATGTTTGCGGTTTAACTTCTGGGGGTGGCGGGGTAGAAGTAAAGTTGGTGACTTTGAGATCTGGGTGGGGCTGATATGCAGAGACTACGCCAATGAACAAATTGGGTATGTTATTCTCTTTGTTGGTTGAGACACTTGTTCATTTTCGTTTGGAGGTTGTATGCGAAGGAGACAGAGAATTGGTTCGGGTGAAGTGGACTTGTTGATTTTGGTTCGTGGTTTTGAACAAGATACTCGAGATCTGGGGAATAGTATGGCTTTAGGTTGCTCGAGCAAGATAACCAATGAAGGGGTTGTTCAGATCTAGAATATATATATAGGATTAGAATTTCTCTGAGTACTTCAGATCAGAAGATTTTTAACTCATAGGATTTGAAATCTTTATGCATTAGGCAGAGGTTTCTTGCAGTTTTACTTCCCCTATTTTTGAATCACGGAATGATGGGAAGTAATTTCATTTAGAATTTCATGTGACTTAGTGATATTTCTTTTGTTCAAACCACTCGGGTGCGTTGGGAAGACGTTAAATTGAACTTCGCTCACATTTTCTTTTCTTTCAATCCATCGATGTTGTTGCTTCTCTGTTTTGTGCTTTCGACGGATGCATGGTGCCTCTAAAACGGCAATCCAAATTCACACAACGCTTAAGATTATCATGTTCTAAACTACTGAAAAAACTGCACTTCAATAAGGATTATGCTACTGACGATTATTCATTTCTTTGCAGATTGGATATGGGGAGTCTTGCGGTTGAAACTGAGGATGTGAGCTCAGATATATACCTTTCGTTGGGGCTTAAAGAATTAGATAAAGGAGTAGGAGTTCCTCGGGTTTTATCACTTGTCTCTTCTCTTCTTGAGAGATCAGTTCAGAGAAATGAAACACTATTGGAGGCTAATCACATAAAAGATGTTGTTACAGTATTTCATGGTTTAAGAGCTCCTACACTGAGTGTTCGAAAGTACATTGATCGTATCTTCAAGTACTCAGGTTGCAGCCCATCCTGCTTTGTTGTGGCACACATATATGTGGATAGATTTATTCAGCACACAGAAATCAAATTGACTTCTCTGAATGTGCACCGGCTTTTGATAACAAGCATTATGCTAGCCGCAAAGTTTATAGATGACGCGTAAGTGCAAGTTTTAAACTGAATAAACGCACATAATATCTAGCTGTTGTTGTATGCATTATGTATCTTGTGGTGGATATCTTAATGCTATATGTAAAACTTATCTATTTGTGGGCCTTATATGGCGATAATATTAATATAACTAGTATAGCTTGTAGATAACGACAACATTAGCAGTGTTCCAATATGCTGAATCAGTTATATATTTGACAAAAAAATTATTTAAAAGAAAAAAATAGTTTTTCATGCTTTCACCATTTTGAGTAGTTGTCAATATCTATATTTGTTTCATTCAGCTGAAGCTTGCTAAAGTAGCTTCCTTTCCTGTTGGTTGACAGATTCTACAATAATGCTTACTATGCAAAAGTTGGGGGAGTAAACACGTCTGAATTAAACAGGTTGGAGATGAGCTTTCTGTTTGGCATAGATTTTAGACTTCAGGTTAGTGTAGACACGTTTGGAAGATATTGTAGGCAATTGGAGAAGGAAGCCGCAGAAACACTCCAAATTGAAAGGCCAATGCAGGCTTGTCGAATTAAAGAAAGTTGGTCAAACAAAGATGACCCTACTTGTGCTTCCACAATTGCAAGATGAAAAGATGTCTGCACCAATGTAATATTGCTGCCCACAATTAACGGAGACATCGAAATTTGAAGTATTTCAAAGAAAAAAGAGAGAGAGAAAAGATTGTTGTATACATGCCATTGGAAATTCAACCATTCTTTTACGGATACGGTTGCGGTTGGGTTTGCTTCCTTTGTAGCTTTTTCTGTTTTGCCCCTTGTTTGTAATTGCAAGCTTGGAACCAGATAGAGATTGTAATGAAATTGTATCCCTTACAATTCATCTGAGTTTGTTCTAGTACCTGGTTGCCTATCTTATGGTCTTGCCGGTAAGCACTGTGCGGAGTAGACTCTGAACATATAACTTTACGTACCAACAACCCAAAATTGTTAATAAGCAGCACTTTCTAAGGATCTCGGAAAGTCCAAAGGACCAAGTATATATATATATATATATATATATATACCATTCATATAGATATTACCCACTTGTTATCCACTTTTCCCAGTATGCTTTTATTCCTTGAGGTTTACAAAAAGAACGCCAAATATAAAATGGCGAGTGGCGAGTGGCTTAAAGTATGAGCTTAAGAATGAAAATGAATAGATTATCTGATTCCCATGGATCCAAATACAATGACATTCATGTAATCCACCATTTAAAATCAATAACCTTACAATCTAACTTAAAGATATATAATTAATACAAGTTTATTAATGCTGCAGCCGTAATCAGTATCATGATCCAGCTCCACGGAATATGATATTTTTCCGTAACAAAGAGGAAAGCTACACCATTTCACCCTCATGGGTAGGTGGGGGCAGGATCAGGTGGTATAAGTAACATCATCTGTTAGATTAGATCGTCTTATCATTTTACTCCTTTGGAACATCCTCTGTTGGATCGTCTTACCATTTTATTGCTTTGGCTCAATCATGTTTATCTGTTTCGCAATGAGCTAGAGGTTCATTCAAAAAGTACAAGCTATAACAATTAAAAGTATACTACCACATATGCATTATGATGCATATAAACTCCCATTGACACAGACATGGTGATGCATGACACCAAACTACACGGCAATAACAAGCATCAATAGCTTCAAATCCTTTTGTTTCGTGTGCTTCATGGCTCCAAAGGTAGTCCCTGTGTGAACAAATCAGCTTTCTCTTCCATAATGTCATCATAACCACAATATAGACATTTATCTAATCCCATATGAGTTGTGTTCTAGAGTCAGTTCCAGGAGGTCACTAACATAATTTTTGAATCAAGCTTCGGAGAATTCTGCTTTCAAAGCAAACATGTGCCTTCACCTAGAGGGCCTCTCCAGTGCAGTCCAACCAAACTTTCCTTTTCTAAAATCTGCTAGGACTCGAAATGCTGCTTGATTAACATCTCCATTAAATACTCGAACCGCAAGCTTCTCTATAAACCTGCAATGGTAAATAAAATACATTGTTTTATGTTACAAAGAAACTTCATAAAAATATGATGAAACATTTGCACTCTGACCTCTACATGCAACCATTTATATCAATGCAACAGAAGAATTAGAAAAAAAAAAATCACATACATTTTACCACATTGACTATCTACATCAATCTTGTATCGTTTACGAAGAGTATCTCCACCTGTAATCAAAATAAAGAATGAGAATTGGTAGTTTGATTGGAGGAAAGAGAGATCAAACAATGTAATATTGTCCACAACGCTGTATCACTTTATAAATAACAGAACACATGTTGGAAAAACAAAAGGCCTCCCATAAATGTCAGTTGAAATTGATATCCCAAACAAGGCACCATGAGAAAGAAACCCACTGAGTTTTAGAAAACTGATATTTTTCCCAACTAAAATAGGATTCTGTCATGTCACGCACCTACTGTGGGGAGCTTTGTAAGCATCTGCACAAGAATTGCACCAACATCAGCCACATCATAAGACCTCTCTCCAATGTCATCACATATGGCGAGTTTTATAGCAGCTGACTGATCACTGATTCGCATTGGGAGTATTCCAGGAGAATCCAGCAGTTCAAGATCTTTCCCAAAACGAACCCACCTTTCCCATTAAGAAGAAATATGATAAATTACATGTTCAGCACGTGTAATGAGAGATCAAGTGATCCACTATTGTTTTATTTGAACTTGACTTGTAGTCGGAACAAATTAGTTGTTGCATACTTTTTGCAGGAAACTGTTTTTGACACTATTAGCACTCGAGCAAAATGTACTTTGTATATAGTTAACTTTCTCTTCTGTTGAGCAAAGAAAACCCTAGAAACTATAATTCTAAACATTTGGGATTAAATTTTTTTTATGAAATTTTTAGGACAACAGGTTGCATACATGAGATTTTGTCACTTTTTGTCATTTTAGTTGTCAATTAAGAATCAAGAATAGACCACATACAAACATAAAAGTACTGAAGTTAGTTCAAGTAATAGCTTAAACAAAATACAAATTAACTCATGAATAAAAAAATGCTGCAATTTTTAAATACTCTCAATTTCTCAATAAAAAGAATTATATAGGGAAACAAAATGAATAACCAACCTCAATTCTCTTGTGACTCCAGGCCTGGGAGCTGCTGGGCACATTCTTCGCTTTAACAAACGGTTGATTAAAGATGATTTACCAACGTTAGGGTATCCAACTATTCCAGCTCGAACCTATTAAACAGGTATACGTTATTTAAAAAAAAAAAAGTAATAATAATAGTATTTTGAGAGGAATTCAAGTGAATGACAACTATCAGAAAAACTTTTGATTTATTATACAATTTACTGACCACTACTGTAAATTAGAGAACAAAGGAATAGCGAGAAAGAATATTGTGCCTTGCGGAAACAAGAAGGTATTCATCTCTTTCTTTTTCGAACAAAACATATGTTGCTTCATTTTTTTTAGATGGAAAAGTAGCCCTTTTAAGTTACGAGAGAGTAGCGAAAACTAGTATGCACACAGTACTGTTATTTCCTTCACCGATAAAAGGTATGTTTTCCTTATTTGAGATAGAAAAGTAGACCATTTACCAGAGAATTGGCATAAGAAAATGAACAAAAGAGAATAAAAAATGGGTCTGCAATTGCTAGAAGCAACCCACCGCACGAGGAAGCAGCCCTTTGGCTCTACGCTTAATATTTACATCAGCTGCTAATTCCTTTGCTAACCGACCTAGCTTCATTGTTCCCTGTACTGACAACATGTGATCAGACATCCTGTACATAAAACTTCAGAATATGGATAGCAATGGGAGAAAAAAAGATCTTGTTTCAATACCATTCCAAGCTTTCCATTGGAGAAGACAGCCTTTGTGCCATTTCTAGTAAAATAATCTGCCCAAGCATTGCGGTCTGCAGTTGATATCATGTCTTCTCTATTTAAAACCAAAATTCTCTTTCTATTTCCAAGCCATAGATCCATCTATAAAAGCAGAAGTAACAGTAAGATGAAGACTATGAATGTTTCGTCCTAGAACATATGACCTCAGGTATTGGGATGTAATGGCTTATACGCTTACTAATACTTCATGTCCAATGTTATGTGACATTAATAAACAAATTCAGCATTGACCCAAAAAAACAAGCTATTATTCATAAAACAAAGAAACCATGTAAAATTACTCGAATATTTCATAATTAAAAATACCTGTTAAATAAAGACGCTAAGACCAACAATAGAGAACTGCAAGAAACAAGTATATATTCCTTCAACCAAATTGAAATGATAAAAGAAAACCTCCTAGGTTTTAAATAATACGATCAAGTGAAGAAAACCAAAAAAAGTTCAATCAAATGCAACTACAGCTAGTTTGGATATACTTCTCAAGAAACACTTGTAGCAGAATAAAATAAAAGAGAACAAGTTATGCACCTCAACTTTTTTCCTCACTAACTTTCCGATATGTGAAGTATACAAGTCGACTTTAACATATGCAATAATGCAAATAGTTTAACTCGTTTTACTTTCTACTTCTGTGTGTGCTGATGAGAAGTTTGTTCAAATTAGCTTAGTTCAAGGTAACAACAGGTACAGACGATAAATGATAGATTGGGCATAAGGAGGCCGGAAATAAATACAATTAAATGGTTGAAGGATTTTATTGTTTGGGCATGAGAAGTTATTTATAATATTATTTTAATATTAATTTTAACTTCCTAAACACTAGATGATGACACTTGTTTGTAGGGTTGTCATCCATTTAGCTAGCTGTTTAATTAAGGATTCAGTAATGTGTAAAGATCAATAAAAAGTATGAAAGTTTCAAACCAAATTATAGCTTAGCATCGTCTACGTAGCCTCCTTCTTCATAGAATAAGGGTAGCTTTAGCTTTCATCATTCAATCAATAAAAGTAAAGCACAAACATCGTTCATGTCTAAGCAGATACTTAGCAAAGTTAATATTTTTAATTTTTAAAAAAAGAAAGACAGATAATTGCCTGTGGATGACTTGTGGATATGGGAATTCGTCCATCCCGCACCTCTATCACAACATCCATCAACCTGAGCTGCTCCTTCAGTTCTTTTTCTGCTTTTGCAATATGACCAGGAAACCACTGCCCCATGCCCCGCAAGATTATTAGCACTCCAAATTTCGCATTAATAGAACAGTACACAATACATATTAACGAGGAGACTTATAAACAAATACCTTACCTGCACAGGGCGCAATGTCTTTGTCCAGTGATAAAGATCAGAGTCAAGGTCGCTCCAATGATCACTCTCTCCTTGAGACCCATCAAATAAGTTGTCGTTGGGATTGCCATATCCATTATCCCTCCAACTGGGGCCTCCCACACCAATTATCTGCATCACAAAAACTGAAAATATTAAGAAAAAAAGATGGAAACGTGAATTTCTGAAACAGCATACATAACAAATAACAAAGGCCACAAGATGTAATCTCGGGAGGTGAAAGTGTATTGGAAAAAGATAGAGAGTTGAGTGAAAAGGGTTGCCTGAATAGTGGGGGATTGGGACGAGAGAGCTGATGCGGAGAATCTGCCACGGTTGGAAACGAACTGTGGGGGAATTGGTGGAGAGTTGGGGACCCATAAACCTGATAGCTGAACACTCATCACTGTTGTATGCGACTACTCACGCTCAACACTCGCGATACTTCGTTTGGGATAATTCTGAAGGAGAAGGAAGACGTGTCAATTGAAGGAGAGTAGATTTTTAGCAGGGATTTTATTTTATCTTACCAAAATCTTCACATACGAGTTTTCATATGTCACACACTTTGTTTCCTTAGCTTGACTGAGCGAAAATAATGGATTTAGATTTCTTCAGCCGGCCACGACTTATCTTTATATCTAATCATTATTAAAATTAATAATATACAACATATTATAAAATAGCCCTAAAGATCCAAACTCGAAAATAAAACACATAATTGCTAAAATACTTAATTTTTCTTTTACAACTGGATTGGTAAATACTTAAAGCTAATACTGAATAGAAATTTGGGAAAAAAATGGATTAATAAGTTTTATTTGTTTAGGTCTTTTTTAAATGCACTCGATTCGAATAAGAATGGCCCTTCGGTTCGAATAATTAACTTTTCATATATAAAGACGCGTAAAATTATAGTTAAAAAAACATTTTTGTAAAAAACTTACTTACAATTTTGTAAAATCAACACCATTTACTCAGTACAACAATGTTAACAAAGAAATTCACTCTATCTTTTTTACATATTACGAATAAAATGTTTAAAACTTCACGTCAAAACTTTTTATATTTCCACGTATTTAATGAAGAAAATAAGAATACTTTTCGCGTCAGAAGTTTTATTAAAAATCACGAGTAAATTACAGTATGTGAATAATAAACGAAGAAATAAATTAACGACACTCTGAAATTTTCTTAAATTACATATACAGATCGGCTTTCTATTTAGTTTGTCCATGGTGTTAATTTCTACCATTAGATGATAATGTAGTGCATAGATTAGTTTAGTTTGAAAGCTTATGACTATTAAAGATTAGATGGTAATATTTGTTTAATTTAAGATTTTATTATTTCCCAATTGTTGATAGCTTTGACATAAAAAATTCATGAATTTAACTAAGAATATTGGACTTTTGATTAGGTGTACCCCACAAGAACAAAACTTAGAACCCACCTAATAGTAGTTCCTTCCAAGACATGGTCATAAGGAAGGTTTCGTGTACTGTAAAAATAATAAGTTAATAAAGTTACTCAAACAAAACTACTATTACCCAACTACAGACACTAAAAAAGAATGATCTGCGCTTTCTATATCTACCTAACATGTACAGCTTTGTACATTTTCGCCTTTACTCCTGTCATGGTTCAAATCTAGGAATCCTCACAAGTCAGCTGGATGAGACTAGACAAGTAAAGTTGAGAAGCACATGGATATTTTTGGTAGAATGTGATGTACCAGGGGACGAAACCTGCATATCGAAAAGATGAAAATGAGATATTATAGAATGATGAATGAAGCGAAAATAAGGTTTCATGGACTACATGCTCCCAGTACACCCAAATAACACTAGATAAACATGGTAAAGTATGTAAAAGGTTGTAAAAATGTGTAACATACCATGGTTCAAATCTCAGTTGATCAAATTTCTCCATCATAAACAGTATGCATGCATGTCTTAATCTAGTAGCATTGAAATCCTCGGATATCTTATACAGTGGCGCAACATTTTCCACTGAAATTTCCTGTAAAATTAAAATGGTTAGCCTTTAGATTAAAAATTAAGCCCTTAACAAAGCTTTCTGTAAGAGCAAAACATAAACAATCATGAAAAACAATTTTGGTGTACCTTAACAATAGCCTTTTCACAAATATGCTTAAGGCCGTCCAGAAGATACTGATCTGCCGCTCTAAGAAGATCCTTAGCGACGTCCACATTGACATCTACCGTTCCAGTATATATAAATCTAGACGTGTCAACGTGAAATTAGTTCATACATAAGTGATATTACCAGAACACAAGGAAAAAATAGCGGAAAATGCACCTCATCATCAATTCAAAAACATCCCATTTTATATTTGGAATCACTATATGTTCTGCTTCCCTTTCCTGCACCACAGTTCGCAAGACATTAATATGGATATTTCCGCTTAACTGACGACTTTATTTCCACAGATCCACTAGTCCTATTTAATTGCAAAGTGATTCTTCAGCGTTTAATTACAGACTTTTTATACATGATGAACTGTTGAGAGAAAGAAAGGATGAAATCTTTTTTATTGGTACACCATATCACAATAAATAAACAAAAATGACGACTTGAAAACAAAATGTCAAAATACAACTAACTAATGCTTACCCTATAATTGCCATCAAACATAGCACGAAATATGTCCGAAGAAACTAAACAAACTCTATGAGCATAAAAACTTCTACCTGAAGAAAGAGAAAAGGAAAATAAATTAGTATATATTATCAAAATCAGTATGCATATAAACTAAACAAAATTAATGGCAGGAGGAAATTTAAGAGGAGATACTCCACCTTCAACCACGAATGTAACGTCAGAAAGTTTAGCATTGTTTACATATTCCTTGCCCAAGGACATCTACAGCAAATATTATTCGTTAAAAAAATGTGAAAAAGAAATCTCAACTTCACATTTTTACCTCCTTAACATATAGACAGAAAAATATCATCTATTTAATTTCAAAGATAATAATTACTATTCTAATTCAAATAATACATTAACGATAACATTGTCCAAATTGATCAATCAAAAAGGGAAAAATCAAAATAAATGAATGTGTTAAGCCAAACATTTGAAGTGCAAGTACCTGAGGACTTGGTGATGAAGGAACACGTTCAAGAAGGGAGACAACCGAAGAATGAGCTTTGGCAGCCAATTGGTGAAGCGCAGCTGAAGCATCACCCATCTGCTTTGTGTTTGGAGATTTGAGAATATCCAGCAGCAAATTTAATCCTGAAAATTAGAACATGTTGAATGAAAATACAATGAGTGAGAAATTGAAAAAAAAAATGTAGAGTATTATTTACCTTTATTGTCAATGAATATAGCTTTACTATCACGAGGAGAACATAAATATGCAAGCGCAATAACAACACGCCTTTGAACCATTTCTTCAGAGTAGCACATAAGACGTATAAGGTGTTTCAACACCTGCCAAAGAGGAATATATATAAAAAACGTATTCAATCCAAAAAATGTATGAAAAACATAAATAACTCATCTCGCATAAAATTTGAGAGAAACTCACTCTCCCTTGAATCTTTTCCTCTAATCTTTTTAAAGTCTTCACTGCACACTCTACAGTTTGCTGCCAGTTAAGTGACAATGACAAGAAAACCCACTTAATGAGAGACAGGAGTTCTGTTTGTTAACGTTAATAACAACTAAATTATCATTTAGAAAGAATGCAATCATATATTAAGTGCAAATCGATTGATTTTATCACAAAGAGTAAATGAGCATACTTGATTTTCGAAATTTCCAGCCTTCAGTCTTTGAAAACCATCAGCCTTAATAATATATACAGCATTGTCCTATAATAAAAGGTTGTTACATCAGCGACAGCATATCATATTATCACTGCACATAATGATTTCTAAAGGACAGCATACAATGTTTACGACTAAAGAATAAGGAGATTAATCTCACCTCGTTATCGGCAATACCATAGAGAGCAAAAACGGCATTTTGTTGGACAGGCGCTATATTTGAGTCAAGAAGTTGGAGCAGAGGCTCTATACCTCCACTTTGAGCAATGCCAGCTTGATTATGAGAGTCCTAACATTTGAACGACATGTGCAAAATGAAAATAGGTTATGAAAGAAAATAACATAAGTAACAACCAGCACATAAAATTACAGAAAGAAGGAACATTAATCATATATAAGTTTGCGAATGCTACATTATATACATACATCCGTAGTTATCAATTTGATAGTGGCGCATAACTGTAAAAAGCTTTAGATAATAACAGTTTTACCTATTATAGAAATCAGATAAGAGATAACTTCTTGAGGAATATTTTGCCCGAACAATAATTTTACATACGTAAAAAGTGTTTTTGAAGATTATATCGGGGTGGTGCCGCTAGCTATATTGTAAAACCTAGACCGTGCTGATCAGGCACTGTTATGATATGATAATAAAGAAATCAATTCGGATTCTTCAAATTTAAATTCCGTTTAATAAGCATATGGCTAAAGATTGTTGTTACTAATAATCACCTGTGCCAACCTTCCAAGTGCAAAAGATGACATTTCCTGAAGCTCGGCATCTGCAGACTTAAGCATATCAACTAATGGTGGAATAGCCCCTCTTTGGGCAATATGAGCCTGTATGAACCACAAAATACGAAAGTTAACAAGTGGAGTTCGTCACTGACTGATTAATCATATTATAAGTTTGTACACTACTTAATCCACCTTGCAATCTGAATCTGTTGTGGCAAACTGACCAAGTAAAAGGGCGGCTTCTCTTCGACTCTCCGAACAAAAGGAACTATCATTGAAATTATAGACTAGAAAAGTTACTAAGGAGGAAAAGTACCAAATTACTAAATACTAATAATGAAGTAATAACTCACTTTCTGCAAATACTTATAATGTTTAATAAACGTATCATTGTTCTGTGGAATTCCAACAGGAAATCACAAGACTGAAGTACAATGTTACCTAAGTGAACAAATGACAGGTTGTAAAGCACCAGCCAGAAGAACATCTTTCTTAATATTTGGCGAAGAGTGGACCAGATTTCCAATCACACCAATCTACAAAAAGTGACAATTCAGTTAGTGTTAGTAGTTTAGAACTCTGCAAGAAACAAACTACCCAAATACATTAATCGTGTAAATTCATACAAACATCTTACAGCCTCATAATGTATTTTAGAATCCTCTGATCCAAGCATTAGCACAAGAGTGGGTAAGGCATCGCATTCAACTATCTGCAATTTTTATCTTGTAAACAACCGTGACAACAGAATTTATCACATCAATTACATGCAGCAAGTTAACTACCTGATTTTTGTTGCCATCATTTTTAAATGCAAGAGTTCGCAAAGCCCGTGCAGCTGCTCTCTGTACTTTAATATCATTCCATTCAAGCAATTCAACAAGAGGAGGTATACCACCTTCCATCCTGAATACACCAAATGTATATAAAGGGTCACGAATAGAGTTGTAGAATATATATTGCTGAAAGTACGGAAAAAAAAAAAAAAAAGAGAAAAACCTGACACAGGTCTTGATGTCAGTATGTTCATGGGCTAAGCTCGTTATTGCATCAGCTGCTCTCCTTAGAAGATTACAAAGTTGTTGAGAAGTAGTACAGATCTTGTGTCTCTTTAAACACTCTACAAGACAAGGCAAGACTCCAGCACGTACAATGAGTTCCTGATATTCTTGCTGTTTCACGATAAAAGCAAAGCAAAAATAAAATCAGAATTCAAATCTTACATGATCTGAAAAAAAAAAAAAATATATATATATATATATATATATATATATATATATAAATGTATTAAAAAACAACCCAAGGTTTTGGAAACAAAGATCACACAGTTGTAATACTAAAGAAGATCAAATGGAATGCACATAGAGATTCAATATTGTTACCTCATGTGCGTAGTATGATTGGTGTAATTAACCTCATACACCCATATTCTTTACAACATGCACTTAATGACAGATTATCCTAGAGCAGATGAATAATAAACAATTCATAATAACTTTAGATCCTTTGTACTCATCAAGAACAATGGGACAAGAAAGATCAGTAATTTCGATGCATTCACCATATATATTCAATAGCCACCAATAGAAAGCTAAATATATTAAAATTGACAAAATCATTAAGAGTGTGATTGATCGTGGTTGAAACGTTATGAAACCAAGAAAAACTTCTACTATTAATTTTGTTAGAAATAAAACATTTTTCTTTAGCACAGAAAGACTAAAAGCACTAGAACAACTATATGTTAAAAACAACAGTTTCAATCATGCATCGATAACTAAAATAAGAGAAGATTCTATTTTACAAATAATTCTATGTCATTAAACATCCAGTAACTAAAGATCTAATCTATAATCCAGTTGACTCTTCAACATTGTTTCAATAATCGCAAATTAATAAAAAATCAATAACTGACAATGTAGTATACTGTATACAACTATATTCCCATCCATCATATAACCAAAAAATACTAATAAACACATATTTTATTATCCAGATTCAAATCTTTAATACATACAGATTAAGACAATTTCCAACTTCAATGGAAATACAAGTGCCAAACAATCAAAATTTCATTCCATGATAAAAAAAATCACTCCCTGCCCCAACCTAGTAGCAAAACCCACTACTATAGCGCATGCAGTCCAACATGTTCAGAAAAATCACCTGTCAAACTGCAATCCAGATCAACTAAGCTTTCCTTACACCTACCCAGATAACATTAATAGGTGCCCATAATTATACCCAATCGGTACTCTTAAATCCATGCTCAACTGTGTGGCTCATATTCTAATTGAATAACACATACTTCCTCTAACACGTTTTTTTTTTTTACAATTGACTACATTATTATTTACTGATATACATTTAGGGTTTTAAATTTTACGGATAGATTTTTCCAATTTGAAGATAAGATTATACACCTACATATGCACAACGATTAATACTCAACACACATTACAGTTACGATGTCATTTAATTAAAATTTCTAAAGAGGGAAAAAATAGAATTCAATTACTTTGATGGCGAGAAACTCAATAATGAGCGCGCATCTTTTGGCCACGTCAAACTTGTCAAGCTCAGTAACTCCATGGCCACTGTAATCTGGAAGTTGAAGATGCCTCGCCAGAGCATGAGCAACCCCGCAATCAAGAAAAGTGTCCGCAAGATCCTCTAGTGAAAAGAAGCGCCATGCAAACATGAAATTTAGTAACAGCACAAGCATAGATCAAAGCAATTAAAAAGGAAAAAACAGAGGTACCATTTTGAGCGAGCACACTGAGGTTGTACATAGTCCTCTTAACTGTATCAAAGTCCGAAGCAGCGGAATGGAGGAGAGAAACCTGCTGTAAAATTTTCTTATGGACCTTGGAATTCGATTGTTCCTGACTTAAATCTCCTTCAGGCTTGCGTTTTGGGCATCTTCTTGAAAATGAATGAGGGCTTTCCATGGAATCTTGGCAGAGAAAGGGGCAAAAACGAAACAGAAGTTCGCAGGAAAAATAAGAGTCAAGAGGAACTAACAACATGTGTGCCTCTTTTATAAAGTTTTTTTGTTTTTAATTTGAGTTTTGGCGCGCGGTTTCCCGCCGTATCGTTGCACAACGGAACTTAACATTTAATAAATCAAAATATCTGGTTTTCTTACTTTTTAGTAATACTTTATATGTATTACGTAAAATTTATCTTTAAACTCATCATTTGTCATATATTAAAAAATACATATTACAATAATTTAAATACACAATATCATATATACAAAAGATATATTATACATTGATTATTTTTCCAAAAATTATAAAATTAAAACAAAATTGTTCAAAAAAATTAAGAATAATACATGTAATTTACCTTATTTCATATTAAATAATAAATGTATTTCTAAATTGAATTACAATTCTAATGTAATTCAATTATTTTAATTTGAATTTTTTTGTATTACCTCTTTTAGTTTAATTAATGTTTTGTAACGTTAAGTTATCTATAATTAATGGAAAAGATTAAAAAAAAAAACAAAACAAAAAAAATCAGAAAAATACAATTTAAAAGTGACAAGTTTTCTGCAATGTCTATAAAAATAAATATTTGCAAAACTTAAAAACATATATTAAAATATTTGTGTATATAATAATTTAATTCATCTTAATTTACTTTCAATAACGGGAAATTATATGTTAAAAAACATTTATCTAATGAATTTTAAATATATTTTGATATAACATTTTCACTTTTATGTAAAAAAATAATTATATCTTTTCAAGCATATTGCTTAATGTTATTTTATTATTGAAAGATAAAATGATTGTGTTAAGTCCTAATGTAATAACTATTCATCTATAATCAAATTGTATTTTTTTTAATATACTAATAAATTTAATTTTTAATTTTATAATTTATTGTATAACAAAATAAATTTAATTACTGAATTTTAAATTTATAATTTACAATAAAACATATTTTGGTTGGTCAAGCTTCTTAAAAAAAACTCCGATTTTTTCATTAACATAAATATAAATTGATATTTATGTAAAAAATATCTTTTAATTTTCTTATATTTTAGCAAAAAGGTATTGTGTTTTTAAGTAGAAATTATTTGTAACTTTTCGTGGACAGATTAGATTAAAAAACTAAGTTATTATATTTATGTAAAAAATATCTTTTAATTTTCTTATATTTTAGCAAAAAGGTATTGTGTTTTTAAGTAGAAATTATTTGTAACTTTTCGTCGACAGATTAGATTAAAAAACTAAGTTACAATGTAACTTGATAGATTCAATTTTAAGATGAGATGATAAACAAAGAGAAAAAGGTGTGAAAATAAAATCGAAAGAAAATCAAGATAGTTGTAAACTTGCTGAATCTCTTGAGCTTCGATTCCAAATGACGATGACATTGTTAACAAAGTAGGGACTATTGTATTTGCTGCATTTTTGTAATAAAAATAAATAAAAATGCCCAATTGTTCACAGACGGAGTCATGTACTGTGAAAATGATAACTTAATAAAGCATTCAAAGTGAAAAAGTATCTACTTACCCCAACAAAAAGACTATTCCCACGCTACATACACTTAAAAAGGAATGATCTGAGGTTTTTTTATCTAGCTAGTAGTATTTGCAGCTCTGTACAGTTTCGCCTTTACTCCTGTCATGGTTCAAAATCTAGGAATTCTCACCAGTCCGCTGGATGAGACTTGATTAGTAAAGTTGATAAGAACATACGTAACTCGGGTATAAAGTGATGCACCAGGGGACAATACCTGCAAATTGAAGTATGAACATAAGATATGATAAAATGATGAATGAAATGAAGGCTTGGTTTCATGGACTGGATGCTCCCACTATACCAACAATCCACCAAATAAACATGTTAACTATGAATGTAGTGTTCAGGTTGTAAAAAAAGTAACATACCAGGGTTCAGATATCAGTTTATCAAATTTCTCCAACATAAACAATATACATGCATGTCTTAGTATAGTAGCATTGAAATCCTCGGACATCTTATATAGTTGTGCAACATTTTCCACGGAAATTTCCTATTAAATTAAGTTTATCAGCCTTGTGATAAATTGAGCCATTAAAAAACTTCCTATAAAAGCAAAACAAAAGAAAAGCAATCATGAAAAGACAATTTTGGCCTACCTGAACAATAGCACATTCACAATCACGTTTAAGGTCGTCCAGAAGATACTGATCTGCCACTTTGAGGAGATCTTGAGCAATATCCAAATTGACATCAATCGTTCCAGTGTATATAAATCTAGAAGTGCAAATTTAAAATTTGTTCATACACAAGTTGTGATGTTAAAAAAACACAATAAAAACTTAGCAGAAAATACACCTCATCATTAATTCAAAGACATCCCATTTAATATTTGGAATCGCTACATATTTTGCTTCTCCTTCCTGCACCACAATCCATTAATATTATTTTAATTGCACGGTGATTGTTAAGCGTTTAGTTACAGCTAAATGTATGACCTTTTATACATAGAAAACTGTTGAGAAAGAAATGATGAACATTTTTTATTGGTAGACCACGTCACAATAAATAAAAAGAGAAGAGAATATGAAATGAAAAGTCGCCATACAACTACTTAATGCTTACCCTATAACTGCCATCAAACATAGCACGAAATATGTCCGAAGAAACTAAACAATCTTTATGAGCATAAAAACTTCTACCTGAAGAAAGGAAAAGACAGTAAATTAGTATCAATATGGATACAAACTAAACAAAAATAATAGTAGTACAAATTTAACAGCAGATAACCTTCAACCAGGAATGTGACGTCAGAAAGTTTAGGATTGTTTACATATTCCTCACCCCAGTATATCTACAGCAAATACGATCAACAACGATTATTAAATGTTAACAAAAAATGTGGAAAAAAAATCTCAGCTTCCCAATTTCATCCCCTTAATATATGGACAAGACAGCAAAATATCAGGTATTTAATTTCAAAGACAACAATGATTATTCTGATTTAATAATGAATTTCTGATAATAGAGTACAAATTGGTCCATCAAAAAATGAATGTGATAAGCTTCACACGTAAAGAGCAAAAGGACCTGGGATGATGGAGTAGTAATTTCCAAATGGGAGATAACAGAAGAATGGGTTTTGGCAGCCAATCTGAGAAGTGCGGCCGACGCGTCACCCATCTGCTTTACATTTGGAGATTTGAGAATATCCAGCAGCAAATTTAATCCTGAAAATTCAGCACAAATTGATTGAAAATATATGCAAAGTACAGTGAGTGGGAAATTACGAAAATAAAGAGATAGATTATTTACCATTATTGTCAATGAATATAGTTTTACTATCACGGGGAGAACATAAATATGCAAGAACAATAGCTACACGTCTTTGAACCCCTTCTTCAGGGTAGCACATAAGATGTAATAGGTGTTTCAACACCTGCCAAAGAGGAATATATATAAAAAATATATCCAATCCAATAACATAAAAAAATATGAAAAACATAAAGTTTAAATAGATAATAATTCTCAGTGACTAAACTAAATCATCCGCTAAGAATTAGTAAGAAAACTAACTCTCCCTTTAATCCTTTCCTCTAATCTTTTCAATGTCTGAAATGCACACACTCTAGTTAGCTGCAAGTGACAATCACAAAAGAACCAATAAATTCGCGAGTGAAAGAAGTTTTTCTTGTTAAATTAATAACAACTAAATTATCAATAATTTTAGTATAAAGAAGAGTAAATTGACATACTTGATTATCGAAATTTCCATCCTTCAGTCTTTGAAAACCATCAGCCTTAATAATGCACACAACATTGTCCTATCATACAAAGTTGTTACATTAGTGGCAGCAGCATATCACATTATCACTGCATAGCAATGATTTCTAAAAGGACAACATACAGTGTTGACAAAGTAAAGAACAAGGAAAATTAGCTTCACCTCATTATTAGCGAGACCATAGAGAACAAAAACAGCTTTTTGTTGCACTGGTGCGTTGTTTGAGTCAAGAAGTTTGAGCAGAGGCTCCACACCTCCGCTTTGAGCAATACCAGCTTGATTATGTGAGTCCTAACATTTGAATTATGTAAGAAAAAAAAACTTATGAAAGAAAATGACAAGAATAACCAACACATAAAGTTACAGAGACAAGGAGCATAATTTTTTGCATTATTTGTTGTTATTTATATATAAATTAAGAAACCTAACCCTGTAAGAGTTAACTTTTAGAAGGGAAACCCAAAATTCAGCCAAAAATACATAGTGTAACGTTAGAGAAACTCTCAAGGGAGCAATGTCATGGGTTCCCCATTAACATTAACCATATATGATTCCGTGTGCAACACTATAAAACACACATCCATAGCTATTGAGATAATAACTATTTTAATTATTATAATGGAAACTAAATCATTTATCCTACACAAATATACTCTTCAAACAACAAAAAGCCCAAAATTAAAGAAATTCATGATAAATAACAGATCACATTTTTACACATAATCATCATCAATCTAGGAGCAATAAGAACATAATAATGAATACAAAATCAAAACAATGAAAAATGAAAGATGATGGTGAAATTAATAGATAAAGAACAATTGAAAATAGATAAAATTAGGACAAAGTAAATTGCGAAGTTTGAAGGAAGAAAAAGAAACAGAACACAAGATAGAAAATAATACTATACAATGTAATGTGAAGGAATATTTTACTGTGGAATATTTACTGAAGAAATGATGTTCCATGGCTAAAATGATTTTGAAGATTATATCTTGATAGTGCTACTAGCAATTAAAACCACTCGCTGCAACGCCATTATATTGTGTTGATGAATACCCAAGCACATATCTAAGGATGACTTTAAACGAATAAATTCTAAAAATAGAAACTATAATAGGCAGTGTTTTCCCAAGAACATTAGGCATTATAGCTTATTAAATATTATCTTTAAATATTTTATATTTGATAATGCTAGACCGGGCTGTGCAGACACTGTTATGATAATAAAAATTTCAATTTCAATTCTTGAACTTCATATTCCTTTTCATAAGCATATGAACCTGTTGCTACTAATAATCACCTGTGCCAACCTCCCAAGTGCAAAAGCTGACATTTCCTGAAGCTCGGCATCCGGAGACTTAAGCATATCAACTAATGGTGGAATAGCCCCTCTTTGGGAAATATGAACCTGCGCGAACAATAAAGAACGGAAAGTCAGTAAGAGGACTTCATCAATAACTGATTTATCATATTACAAGTTTGCAAAACTACTTGATCCACCTTGCAATCGGAATCTGTTGTGGTAAACTGACCAAGTAAACGGGCTGCTTCTCTTCTGCTCTCTGAACAGGAGGAACTATCATTGAAATTATGAACTTGCAAAGGTTACTTAGGGGGGAAAAGTACCAGAATACTAGATACTAATAAAGAAGTAATAACTCACTTTCAGCAAACAACTATAATGTTCAATAAACATTATCTTTCTACAATGGATTACTTACAGGGAAAAAAAAAGACTGACGTACAAGGTTACCTAAGTGAACAAATGACCGGTTGTAAAGCACCAGCTAAAAGAACATCTTTCCTAGTATTTGGCGAAGAGTGGATCAGATTTCCAATCACAAAAAGCTACAAAAACCGCTAATTAAGTTATTACTAGTAGTTAAGAACTCTGCAAAAAGCAAACTACCAAATACATTGAATTCTGTAAAGGCAGACAAACATCTTACCGCCTCACAGTGTAATTTAGAATCCTCTGATCCAAGCATTAATACAAGATTTGGTAATGCATTACATTCAACTATCTGCAAGTTTTTACTCTTGTAAACAACCATGACAACAAAGCTACCACACAATTTACGGCAGGAAGTTAACCACCTCATTTCTGTTGCCGTCATTTTTAAAAGCAAGAGTTCGCAAAGTCCGTGCAGCTGCTCTCTGAACCTTTATATCGTTGAATTCAAGCAATTCAACAATAGGAGGTATACCACCTTCCATCCTTAATATATCATATGTATACAAGAGTAAAGAATACCATTTGTAAAATATTTATTATTAAAAGTACTGAAAAAAAGAGGAAAACCTGACATAAGTCTTGATGTCAGTATTTTCATGAGCTAAGGTGGTTATTGCATCGGCTGCTCTCTTTAGAAGTTCAACAAGTGGTCGAGAAATAGTACTGATCTTGTGCCTCTTTAAAGAATTTACTAGACAGGGCAAGGCTCCGGAACGTACAATAAGTTCCCGAATATATGCTTGCTGTTTCATGATAAAAATAAAGCAAAAATAAAATCAAAGTTAAGATGCTGAATGATTTACTAAAATATCTGGAAAAAAAAAAGAGAAATGAAATCAAAATCAAAATTAATTTTTGGAAACAATGATCACACTGTCGAACTGATGAAGAAAGATCAAATGAAATACACATAGAGATTCAATATTGTCCATACACGTGCCTAGTATATGACTAAGAATAACTTCTACAATTCGCTTTTTTTTAAAACAAGTGACAATAACTCTAGAACAGCTAAATATTAAATGTTGGAAGCAACAATATCTGTCATGCATCAATAACTAAAATTATAGATGATTCTATTTTACAAATTACCCCAAGTCAACAAGCACCCAATAGCTGAAGATATAGTTTATAAGCCAATTGACCCTTCAATGCTATTTCAATAATACCAAGCAAATGAACATCCAATTGCTAACAATATTGTATATTGCATTCTAACATGTAACTAAAAGAACTTATGAACAAACATTCTATTTCTAAATTCAAAATCATTTTATACGATACAGATTAAAATAATTCCAAGTCTCAACTTTTATGGAGGTACCAAAAGCCAAAGAATCAAAATTCCATTATCTGTTTTCCAAATATCACCCTCCACCACCCTAGTAGCAAAACCCACAATTACATTTAATCCGACATATTCTAAAAAATCACCAGTCAAGTAGAAATAATTCATTACACGCTATATGTTTCACTCCAAATCAACGCATAAAAATTATCCCTGCATCTATGCAGGTAGCACTTTCAGATGCCCATGATTATATTCAATCAGTACTTACTTCCATTAACACACTTACTAAAATTCAACTGGGGTAATAGGCCAGATTTCTATAGCTTCATATAATTAAAATATCCAGAGAGAATTACTTTGATGGCAAGAAGCTGAAGGAGAATCGTACATCCTGTGACCACCTCAAACTGATCATGTTCGGTAACTCCATCATTATCATCTTCCAATGCATATGCCTCATTACTGTCATCTTTCCGTGCATCTGGCAATGGAAGATGTCTCATCAAAGCAGGGATAGCACCGCAATTCAGTATAGTATCCACGAGTTCCTCTGGAACCAAACAGAGACGAAAAATTCAGTAACTGCACAAAATAGCAACCGAGCAAAAAAAAATAAATACCGTTTCCAGCGAATACAGAGAGGCTGTGGATAGCATTCTTGATAGTAGCGCAGTCCGGGGCAGAGGATAGAAGAGTGGAATTGAGGAGAGAAACCTGTTGGAGAATCTCTGCCTCGGAATCGGTCTGGTCCTGGGTTAAATCTCCTTGGAGCTTGCGCTTCAAGCTTCTTGCGGAAGTGAGACCTTTTTCCATGGAAATTTGGGAGAGAAAAGGGGTAAAACGAAAACAAAATTAATCAGTGCTATACGTTGGAGGGAAATCAGAACCAACGTCGTGTTTGCATTCCATTATTTATTGTTGTACAGTTAAAAAATGGATGAATTTCGAGGGATTTGGTGAATTCGTTTTTTTTTTTTTTGAAAAAAAATCGGATGTTTAAAATTGATTTGGTGAGTTTGTTACTTTTTTAAATTGAATCGGTGAGTTTGTTATTGTGTTAAAATTGATTTGTTATAAAGAAAATAAAAAATAAAAACTGAAAATTATTTGAATTTTTAATATATATTATTTTGTCAAAATTATTTAATTTCAATTTTGCATTAAAAATCAATAACATCTAAAGTCGTGTTAGTTAATTAATCTATTTTGTTTACTCTATCAATTGCCATTATGATCAGATGTTAAACATAAATTAAATAACGATGGAAAAAAGTCTTATTTATTATGCTTGAATACATAGATAAATAAATATAAAGGTGTATGGTATTATTTTAAGTATATGAATAATTAATAACAATTTAATTTAATGTAAGGATGGAAGCAGGAATTTTCAGATTAAATATGTTTTAGTTATATTTAGTGGTATTTTATATTATAAAAATTGTTAATTATTATATAATTTATATTATATGTGGATTAACAATAATAGTTTAATTTAAATTTAGTATTAAATATTTTTTATCCTTTTTAAAAAATATTATATAATTTTTTTATATATCTCTAAAACTTTTTTTTCTTCTTCTTGTTCTTAACATCATATTGATGATTAAGGATAATTTAGGTACAATTTTTTTAATTAATTAATCTATTGTTATGTTTTTTAAAAATAAAATTGTAATGAATTAAAACTCTAATGCGGATAATACTTTAAATATGATAATTGATTCTAAGTATGTTATCAAAGTGGACATAAAGTAATAATGACACTTTCTTTAAATGAAATATTCACGGATCTTATCTCACTCATATCTCTTAGTCATCCAAGTATACTCACAATCTTCACGTCACTTAGCAATCAAGATCGATAATAATTTATATACATCATCTTTTTTAACTCATTTAAATTTTTTTTTCAAAACAAAATCATTTTTTTCAATTTAAAAACAGATAGTACCTCAAATATAAGACTAAATTATTCTTATTTCTATATGAAACACTTATAATTTTTATGTTATAAGGTTGAATTATGAAAAACAAATATATGCAAATAAAAGATGGACAAAGAAAAAAATAAAGATACCAAATAAAAAGATGAATGTTTGAAATTAAATGAAAATATGAAAGAGAAAAAAATAAAAATATAAAAAACAAAAGAATGAGAAAAATTATAAAAATAGATAAAATAGGTAAGAAAATAAAAACTATATTTATTATAATTATTGTTATTAATAATTAATTAATTTATATCTAAAATATAATTTTAAATAAATATATATATATATATATATATATATATATAATCAAAATTTTCGTCTCTTTGATTTTTAGTCGAAAAAGTGATGGTCTAACTAATAAAAGTCTTTTGTTTCTCTTATTTTATTTTTTTTGTATACTTTTTATTTGAAATAATATATGTATTTCTTTTTCTCTTTTTTAAAGTAATTTTATCTTATTTATATTATCGAATTTTCTTTTATATTAGAAATAATAAAATGAATTGAGTTAAGTTGACCATTCAAATAAAACAAGCAAAAACTTTAAAATATAAAATATTTTTTATGATATTTTTTAATATTTCAAAATGTACTTTCTAAAATATAATTTTTCATATTTCATGAAGTAATTTTTGAATTTTAAGAAAAAAAAACTTTTGAAAGTACTTCCCGCATCATTATGGGGAAATAAAATTAAATATGTCATTTTAAATAAAAAGAAACAAAAGAGCAAGTGTATTTTAGAAAAGGGAAGTGTAAATAGCATAAGCTGAATATTATATTCTAGCCCCAACTTGTATGAAGAAGATCAAACGGGCCATTAAAATAAAGAAGATCAAGGCTTCCTGGCCTCAAATAAACTAACAAAGATCAAACCATATTAAAACTTGGATGAACCATTTGAATAGTTAACCCAAAGATTTGAAGTAAAGTGATGCATATATGAAAACTTTTATTTCTTCCAACAGTTTTCCATATAAAAAATTTCACTCAACGCGTTTATTTTCACCTCAACATATTTTGGGGTCAAACTTGATTTATTTTATAATAATATATATTGTTACAAATATATTTTTTTTAAATTGTTTTGTGAGTTTTTCCAATTTCTTATCCGAACCATGAGATGTTTTTTTACTAATAAATTACGAGTTTATTATACAAGAAAACTTGATATTACATTAAATAAATAAAACATTAAGATAATCAATTTATGGATTTTTTATATATATATTTTTATCTTATTTACTTTTATTCATCGTGAGACTTTTTATTAAACCCTACTTACTAAATCCTAAATTTTTCATTCGTACTTTATTTTTATCCTTCTCCACCTCAAGAATAAGTCTCACCCAACTTGGTTTGCTTCCCCTCTATCATGAAACATTTTCATCACTCTTCGTAGAATTGTTTCTCAACCATGAAACATTTTCATCTATGAATACCAAGAGGTGACCCACACCACTCCATCATATAACTTTTTTCCACGTACAATGTTAATGGTTATATTCACAAGAATATAGAATTGAATAATGAGAAAAAAAAAACACAACAACTTTGAATTGCATGCAGATAAATTACATGAAGTGTTCATATAACAAACGATCAACACTTTTTATATGTATCTTTTTAAGAGTTATTATAAATTAAAGATAAATATTTTACTATGAATTTTACATATAAATTATTTAAAGTTAAAAGGAAATTATTTATATATAATATTTTTAATTAATTTTGAAACAATTTATTGATAAGAGTCGTAATAAAATATTTATTTTTATTTGTAAATAATTATTATTAAAATTTTAATAGATAATCTATTATATTATCCCACACAAAATGATTTAATGATCTATTATATCATATTATCTTATATTGAATTACTTGATTTTCATTCAAATTATTTAATTTTAATTAAATTATACAAATTAACTTATCCATCATCGTATGATTTATTTATAATCAAATGGTCTTTTTTTCTCAGATGATTTATTTACCACCAACCCTCTACTCATAATTAGAGTGGTCTACCATTATTGGACCATCTACTTACCGTCATATGATTTTATCTTAATAATTTTATTTTAAAGTTATTTTCGTAGTAAAAACTAAATAAAAGGGTTGGTTAAGTTTGTTCTTTGGTATCTCAAACGAAATATTCATTACAAATTACAAAATTAAAAAAATAACAATAAATAAATAAAGATCATATTGTTAGTAGTGCATATTAGGAAGCTGGTAGATAGTTGTCACCTGTCGGCGGCGAGAGCAAAGAAGTTTCCAGTGAGTTTCCAAAGGACATGCCGCGTACCTCATTTGCAGCCATTTTTCACTGCCCCACACTTTTTTTTGTCCTTTTCTTCCTTGTACGGTTGTGTGTACCCACATAGAAACTCACACAACTCAATTTTACGACTAACTTAATTAACTATACTACATTCGAAGCGAACTAGGTGTAATTTGTTTGTAGTGGATCTAATATCTACATATATTTATATTTAGTTTAACTTCTTGCATGTTATGTATGACGCCAAAATCATTTTATACTCTATAGAGAACTTTCAATATAAAATATAAGTAGTATTTGTATATAAGAAGCTATTAATTTAATACATATGTATCACTCGAATCTATTGACTTAGAATAATTCATTTTTAATTCTTCAATATTGTTGGAATGAGTATCCAAATTTATCATATTATAGTCATGGATCTTATATGGAAATGTGTGTCATCGTAAAAGTTTTATATTTTAATGTAAGAAAAATAGAATAATAAGACTTAGTGAAATATAAAATATAGGAAAATATTACATTGAAATGTGTGTCGTGCTTAAAATATAAGTGTTTGGTTGACTATACACCGGAAATATTTTCTGGCAAACACTTGTATTTTATACGCATACAATTTCATTATCAAACAAACATTAAAAATTGGTGGAATGAAACTAAGAGAACAAGTGGAAAAACAGTGCAAATGGACGAGGGAATATTATGGATTGCTCTACACATGACTTTAGAAGTGAATGATCCTATGTTTTGCAAGATGTATATACTTTTATTATTATATTAGATCATGTATCGAGATCACATCTTTGTTATATACAATTTTATATAAATATTTATAGTAAAAACATTGATTTTTTTTTTATTGTTATTTTTTTTATCATTTTTCATCGTTTTTTCTTATATATATAAATATATCTTTGGTAATAATATAAGTAGGGTTAATCTTTTCTTTTTCAAGGATTTCTTTATTTTTTTTAATCATGATTTTGCATTGCTAATATGGTATCATATTAAATACTCTATGCAATTTTTACACGCCCCTTCTTTTTTTTGATTGATCAACCATGGTTTCCATTAGCCAAAATTCTTCTTACAATCAACCTTCATATCACATAATTAATCCTTCCAATCCTCTTTTATCTTTATCCTAGAGAAAATCCTGCACTTATTCTTGTTGTTGCACTTCTTACCGAATAAAATTATTATGAATGGGAGTAAGATGGTTGTTGCCTTCGAAACAAAGAACAAAGAAAGATTCATAAAAAACGATTTCCCTTGTTCTTTGATTTCTTATCCTTTACATGATCCATGACATCATTGTAATCTCATGGCTTATAAGATCCATGACTCTGGCTATCAAGCATTTAATTATGTGGAAAGAACTGGGAATGTATCATTATGTTCTTGCATGCCACTGTTCACTTGCATGTTCTTACGATCTCCTTCTCAAACTTCAGAAGGAACGTGAAGATGATTGGTTATACGATTTCTTTGAGGTCTCACTAATACTTTATTCACAAGTTTGTTTCCAAATAATGCTCATGGATCTTATGCCTTCCCGTGTCAAGAGTTTTTCTCTGATTTTACAACACGAACGAGAATTTCTTGCCATTTCTTTGAATACTTTGTCTCAAGATTTCATTGTCTTTACTGCCTCCACAAAAGGATTATTTGTTTCCACCAAGAATACTTCAATAAAAAGTGCTTTAGGTTGTAATAATAAGTATTGTGAAAATTGCAAAAAAATCAATTACACCATTGATACTTATTATTGGTGTATTAGTTTTCCTCCTAGTTATAAAAGATCTAGTCGTAGAAATACTTCCAACATTACTTCACAATCTTCTTCTCTGCCAAAAAGTTCTAACTAAGATCAATATCATTTCTCCAAAGAGCAGTATCAGGCCCTCCTGCTTTTCTTCAGTAACGCAAGGAACCTTCTTCTTCCATTAACCATACTTCTGTCAACAATTCAAGTGACACTTTCTATTATTCCAATTGGATTTTGGATAGTGGAACAATATACCATATTGTTAAGTGGTAAAAAGTTGATATAATTATGCCTTAAATTGTTATGAAACCATTTAACTTATGTTAATTCTAATATATTTTTCTCCCAATGTAGGATGAATTCGAGAATACCTTGATACAAGAATAAGGAGCATAATTTTCTGCATAATTAAAGAAAAATTGAAAGAAAGAAGAATGCTTAAGCGAATGAATGATGCGAGACCCGACCCAAATTCTCTTATGAAAATATAATATGTGTTTTCAGAAAGAAGCAATCTTAGAGAGGAGGAGACACGACTACTGTTAGGGTTTTGTCTAATCTTCATCAATTATTCACTTCTTCATCAATTGGAGCATTGTAATGGTCAACATGAGTGACTAACTTCATCCTCTTAGGATTCGGTGCACTTCCTTTGAACTCTTTTGTATCATGGTGATATTTTGAGATATTAATCTATGCTTTGATGTTGTTATTCTTATCCTTTATGCTTTGGAATGATTTATTCTTGATGTTTGGGGTATGATTGGAAAATATATCTTGAACCCTAGATCATGGTAAAAATATTTGTTACGTTAATTGCCAGGAATGGAATGAATGTATCAATTGCTTAACACCCTAACCTTAATGCTGGAAAATATCTTAATTGTGTGAGGAATCTACATTTATTAGGTTTTCTTATGAATTTCATGTGTGAGGAATCAACATGGATGATTTGAGTAGGTGACATCAACATTATTAGGTTAATTGACGTTCTTAATTGATTTAGTCATTACATATATGTCGTACCAAATCTTTATTTGAATCTTTACATCCTATCAAACTTGTTCCAATAAAATTACCAAATCACACTACTATTTTTGCTACCTTTTCTAGAACCATTCATCTTGGTCTCTTAACCCTTCATAACACTCTTTATATACCAAATTTTGATGTTCACTTAATTTCTATTCGTAAACTCATTTCAACTCTTCAATACATGATATTATTTGTGACAATCATTATTCAATCATGCAGATATCCAATCTTCGGATGATTAGTGTAGCTAAACAAAGAAGTGACTTATTTTACTTGCAAGAATCTCGTGATTTGAATTTTTCTACACATATTTCTAACAATACTTTTGCATTGCATTTTTCATCTGTAATGAACATTGATAATTCTCAATTGTGGCATTTTCAGCTAGGCCACACAACTCATAAAGTGTTATAACATTTGTCTTCAAAATACAATAGTATCACTTTCAATACCTTACCTCCTATATATGTCATTATGCAAAACAAAAGAACCTTCCTTTTCCAAATAGTCAAAGTCGTACTTAAAGTTTTTTTTAGTTAATTCATGTAGATATATGGGGTTCTATATCCCATACCTCTATCGATGGTTTTAAATATTTTCTTACAGTTGTTGATGAATACACAATTTACTTGGGTTTATTTTTTACTAAACAAATCTATGATCAAGACTATTCTTCCATCTTTGGTAACATTGATTGAAAACCAATTTTCTGTTAAACAAAAAAAACTAAGATCTGATAATGGAAAATAATTTTTTTCTCCATTATTTCCTTTCTAATAAAGACATTTTTTTTCATGAGGTCTCTTGTGTTGAAACTTCTTAACAAAATGATATTATTAAGAGAAAATATCAACACTTGCTTAACGTTAGTTGTGCTTTGCTTTTCCAAGCCAATTTACCTTCTTGTTTTTAGACTTTTGTTGTCAAACATGTCACTCAACTTATTAACAGGCTTCCAACTCCTTTTTTGAAAAATAAACCACCTCATGAATCCTCCTTATTTAAAGATGTTACATGTGTTTGGTTGCTTAGCCTATGTTTCAACTATCACTGCTGCACGAACTAAACTTGATAAAAGAGCCTCAAAATCCATTTTCTTAGGATTTAAAACTGGAACTAAAGGTTTTGTTTGTATTGTTTTATTTCACGCAATGTATTTTTATGAGATGCATTTCCCTTATGCCAATACTTATTCTTCTTTATCACATTATGATAACATCAATGTCATTCCAAATGAAAAATTCTTTGAAGATTTGATACACTATGATACAACTTTTTTTTTCATTCATCTATTCCTGTTGCACAATCACATGACTTTGTTTCTTCTATAGAAAACAATGATAGTTTGCAGCCTAATCAAATTCAAATCACAGATTTCAATGCAAGATTTTTTACGCGAGTAAGAAAGCTACCATCTTATTTAGCTGATTATCACTATCATCATGTTTCCTCATCTAATTCTGATCCCACTATTTTTATCCTATGGCCTGTTATTTTTCCTACTCAAAATGCTTCAACACTCACACTATTTTATGTCTTTCAATTTATGGTACATCTGATCCTACCACTTACAAAGAAGCCAGTCAACTTGAATGCTAGAGGAAAGATATGTTGGTCGAGTTACAAACTCTTCAAAAGAATCATACATGGTTCTTGGTTGATCTTCTTCCAGATAAGAAGATTGTGAGTTGTAAATGGGTTTACAAAATCAAATATCGTGCTAATGGTTCAATTAAAAAGGCACAAAACAAGATTGGTAGCACAAGGTTTCATACAAATAGAGGGGGTAGATTTTTTTAAGACATTTTCACTTGTTATGAAGTTGACCACAATTTGGTTTCTTCAATTCATAGTTGTTTCTTCTGGATGGTTTCTATATTGGGTAGATGTGGATAATGATTTTTTGCATGGTGATCTTCATGAAGAATTTTACATGCGTCTTCCTTCTGGATTTCATGCTTCTTCTTCCAAAATGGTTTGTAGATTTCACAAATTATTGTATAGATTACGTCAAGCCAATAGACAATGGAATGCCAAGCTTACTAATGCTTTGATTTTATCCAAAGCACAACTAATCACTCTCTTTTTGCTCATCATCAAAATCGATCATTCACAACTCTTTTAGTTTATGTGGATGACATAGTCTTAACAGGCAATGATTTCACAATCATTAGTCAAGTCAAGCAATACCTTTATCATTAATTTCGTATCAAAGATCTTGGTGAACTCAAGT